AGTGCCATCCCGGCCCAGCAGACACCCAGCTTCTCCTGTGCTGTGGTTGGTGGCAGAGGCCGTGGCCCTGGCTCTTGCCCCTTTGCCCCCTCCTTTACTTCTTCCAGAACATATGCCTGTCTGGCTTTCAAAGCACTTTTTTGGGGGGGTGTGGTACAGGGATTGAATCCAGGGGCACTTGACCACTGAGCCACATCCCCCGCCCTTTTTCTTTATTATTCATTGTTTTGAGGCAGGGCCTCACCCAGCTGCCTAGGACCTGGCTAAGTTGGTGAGGCTGGCCTCGAACTTTGGACCCTCTTGTCTCAGCCTCCGGAGCTGCTGGGATGACAGGCGTGCACCACCTCACCTGGCTCTGAATCACATTTTTCACTGGGTTTCGTGGGTGGCGGCTGGCAGGTGGACAGTTTTTGGAGGGCAGGCCAGGTACGAGTTAAGGTCCTGGAGGCCAGAGCCAAACAGGTTCCCAGGAGGCGCCCTCCAGCAGGCGGGCTGGCGGTGGAGAGGGGCACTGTGTTCTTCACGGTGTGGGGACTCCAGGAAGCCTCAGGCTGCACCCACCGCAGCTCCAGGCATTCCCCGGCTCAGCCCAGGGACTAGCAGAAAGGAATCTGAGAGACAGTGGAGTCAGATCACAGACGTGAAGACTTGAAGTGCGGGGGGTTCTGCGTCTTGACGTGGTTTGCTTTCTGCTTTCAAACCCAAGGATTCCCACCGCTTTGGGAGACACCTGAAGCAGGCCATGGCAGACATCATCGCCCTGTTCAGGCCCACGGTGAACTCCAAGAAGTAGCCCCGCGGGCCACCCTCCACAAACCAAACGAAGAATAGGATCGATCCTGGTCGTCGTTCAGGACGAAAATAGCTCTTAGAAAACTCAGAAATCTTCCTTCCAAAAAAGGGTCTGTTGCTTTGTTTCCCCAGCATGGTGGGTGGCACCGCGTGAAGCGTGACCCACTGTCCCCAGGTCCTGGCTTCAGGAAGGCTCCACATGTCCCCAGAGCCTGTGCCGCAGCTGGTACTTATTAAGGGACTAAGACGCCACTGGGTGGGTGGAGGGGGAGTGGGTAGCACTTCACACACCTGAGAAATGGAACCACGCCCCTCGGGGTGACCCAGGACCTGGTACTTAAGGCGTTCAAGCATCATCACAGCAGTTCAGACATTTGATTTGTAAAAAGAAAATGTGTGGTTCAGGTCGGCAGTGGCAACAGTTGCAGCTAACACGGTCACGCACTAACTAGAACCCACGCTTGGGGGATCGGCTTTGTCACTGTGGGTAACTGTCCTGTCTGGGTTGCTGGTCTGTGTTTGCATCTCTGTGTTTGAAGCAAGCCCCATGCAGCCTCCTTAGTGTTACTGACCTTTCAAGTCTCCAAAACCCAGTGCCTTAAAGTGGGAGGCCCTCTGGGGGTGGGTGGGGATTGGGAGTCTGGGTGGACTTGTGGGGATGTTGCACCTTCCTCAATTTGCTGAGCGCAGAGGACCCCAGGTCAGTGCTGCAGTGTCCCCACCCCAGAGGACCAACTCCCTCGTGGGAGCAGCCATGCTGGGTTCCCCTCATGGGTGTCCTTCCTGCCATCATTGGGCAACAGAATAACAGGGATGGATGGTCAGATGGTAGCTAAGAATGAGGCCTGGTGCCAGCCTCACGCGTACTGCTCCCCCTGCTGGCAAGACTGTGCCACTGCAAAGGGAGCAGAGCCTGGGGAGGGCAAGGCAACACCTCCGTGGTCAGGACTCCTGGTCTGGGACCCCAGTGGGATTGCCTTCTCATCCCCCCGGTCGGAGAGAAGACCCGACCTCATTTCCAAAGGAACCGGAGGGGGCTGGAACAGCAGTCCCGGTCACTTTGATGAGAGACCAGAGTGGCCCAGTGGTGGGTGCTAGGTTCACAGCCTGACCTTCGGGTAGGAGTGCCTTCACCGGAAGCGCCTGCTTGACCCCGGAGCACTTGTACCCTCGGTCATCCTCAGTATTGAGTGCAGATGCAAAGCATCATGGGGACATCCCACTGCCTCTGGTCTGTCGCCACGAGCTTCGCGGTCCATTTTTTAAATCGTGTATTTATTTTTCTGACCACTTTATCCTTGCCGGGCTCCCCCTTCCTGCTTCTGCACTCCAGTGACAAAGAGCAAGGGCTGGGCAGTTGCCCAGACAGAGCACTTGCCCGACATGTGCATGTCTTACTTCTGTGTGTTTTGTAATGTAGAAATCCCACCTCCATGGGCCAAAGATCCTTTCCTCTTAAAATCAAGAAGGAATGAAAACAAAAGGCAAAAACAAGAACAGTAAACTATTACAGTAAACAAAGCCCCATTCTGTGGTATTCAGTGGGTCTGGGGGAAATTGCCCCTGCCCAGGGCTGTGGAGCTCACAGGCAGCAGGCAGCAGCCACGGGAGCCTCCTCCAGAGTCACCCAGGCAGTGTGCTAGTGACCACTGAGCAGTCTGTTTCCATGTGTCCACACAGGAATCCGAGTGTAGACGTGTTAGCACTCAAACACACTTGGGCTTATCTCTCAGGTTTTATATGTTTCAGATGTATTTGTTGCTAATCGGTGTGCAGTTATCAATGCAATTTTATATTCCTTAAAAGGAGGAAGAGTGGGTTTTTATTGTACATGTCAAAAGGGGGAGGTGAGAGTATTATGTATTTAATTTAATTTGGAACAAATTAGAGTCTTAACACAGCCATGGTTTAAATTGGTTATCCTGATCTGTCCATTGCGTGTAAATACAATGTGCTCTTGGATGTAAATCTTAGAAATGCATGGTGTGAATGTAGATGATCATTAATAAAACATTAATCCTGTCTACTACAGCACTGTCTGTCTCTTTGCTATGCCAATAGAGAGAATTATGCAGCAGGCAGTGACCTTGGAGAAGGCAGGGTGGATGTCCCCGGGTTCCTGTGCTTAACTCAGGAAAGTATCTAAATGGAGCCTCTTGATTTTCACTTGTATCTACTCAGACATCTGTTCCCTTGTCCGAGGCCTGACAATCGCAGGTGCTCGACAGATTCATGTTCAATGAAGGTCAGAGGCGGTTTCTTCGGCAGGTCTTCTTGAGCATCTATTCTGGGTCCTACAAATACAGCAGGGACCCCACCAGGGTCTGGCTGGCCATTCCAGCTCCTGTGAGAAGAAGGGGAGGATCCAGCGCACCATCCGAGAGGACCTTCAGGGCCGTGGCAGTGAAAGCAGGCTCAGGAAGGTTCCTAGTTAGAGTGGGTTTGAGCTTTGAACCGAATGACGAGACAGAGCCAGCTTTGGCCAGTCTGCCAGGGCCAGCAGAGCATCTAGAGACAGCATCAGGAATGGAGGTCCCAGGCTTGATTCTGACCAGCTTGGTGACACACCTGGGGCTATGTCCACCTGCAGAAAGAACAAATGGCACAGACTTGTGTGCTGACTTCCTGCTCCAGTTCCCCAGATGTTTTCCCTGTACTCTGATGTGTAACAGCTACCTTCTCAATCCCTGCAATTTTGGGAGCCCGATGTGGACTCTCAGACCTGCCCCTGAACTCAGTTTCTAAATTCCATATGATATGATTACTGCAGCCATAAAGAGTACAGTCACCCACACATGTGTAGGCACCCAAAGAGAGGACTGACAGGCAAAGGGATTGGGCTGGGGTGCTCAAGGAAGCCTGGCCTTTTTTTTTTTAATATTTATTTTTTAGTATTTGGCGGACACAACATCTTTGTTTGTATGTGGTGTTGAGGATCGAACCCGGGCCGCACGCATGCCAGGCGAGTGCGCTACCGCTTGAGCCACATCCCCAGCCCCAAGCCTGGCCTTCATCTGTGCCATGTAAGGACTTCAGCAGGAGGGCCATGTAGTAACCAAGGGAATGGCTGTCCTGATTGCCATCTGAAGAAGCCACAAGCACTTTCTATGGATTCCTGCCCACAGGTAAGGAAACAGCACAGGTGTATAGGAAGCTTTTCTGCTAAATTCTGCTCCACTTTGCAGCGATATGACCAAGAAGATGATTCAAGTCCTGTGTGTTTGCAGTTAGCTGGTTGCCTGGGCTATATTTTAGGTTGTTCACATGGGAACATTCCCAACAGGGAATTTAGTTAATTCCCTGTTGTCAGTCAATTCAAATGCCCCAAAGTAATATTTCAGACAAAGAAGTCCTAGTTGTGTTATTTTTGAGTGCTTCAAATTTGCCAGCCCAAATTTAATAATTCTCCACTGGATAAAATTTTCTTGGGATTTTCCGAATATCTGAATGTACAGCTAAATAGCACTCGGTGCTGCTGTGCCTGGGCTACTCCCCTGTGACTTAGAAAAGTGTTTTTAATAATGAGATAAGAAAGCTCATGTTTTTAACATTTTTATTTTACTAAAGCAGTATTTGCACATGGAAGCAGTACCTAGGCATCCATGGTGGGTCTCCCAGCACCCACAACCAGCAGAAACACCCTCTGAACTCTGCCCGTTGGGTAGGTTGTAGCCACCACTCTAACTAAGCTCTTCATGAAGCAGTGTCAGTGTCGGTTACTTCTGGCTCTGGAAGGTGGACTTAGTTTACCCCCCACCCCGAACTTTGAGAGCTTAATTTTATTTGCTGCTTGTATTTCTAGGCCCATTCTCCCCACGCCCAAGCACCAATATTGAGTTGTTTGTATTCGGCTAGGGAGCAAGTCCCGCGCCAAGAACAGGAAATGCCAGCACACGCGCAAGCCCCTGTCCCTCCGCCCTGCTGCTCGAGGTGGGGTTACGACAGCTGAGGTCAGACGTCCAGCTAGGGAGTCCCACCTCCTAGGAGGACTACAAGTTGCTTCAAACTCCTTGGGAGTCCGTTTCCCCACCAGGGCAAGGAGCGGTGGATCCCTAGAGCGCTCTTCCAGCCTCCTACCCGCGAACGCAGGGCGGTGACCCCGCCCCCGCCTGGCCCCGCCCCTGCCTGGCCCCGCCCACCAGGTGTCAGCCCACGCCCCGCCCCTCCCCAACCGCCAACGGCCGCGGCGCGAGGCAGCGCTCGGCTCGCACAGGCCACCGCGTCGCTCCGCGGCAGCCGGGCGGCCCAGGTGTGTCCCCCCCGGCGGCCCGACCAGGCGCCCCTCGGGCCCGAGCCCCCGTCCTTGTCGGGCTGCGGCGTCCCCGGAGGGCGTGGCCGGCGCGCCTCACCTGGCCGCTCGTTGCAGGTGCGCGGCCCGAGCAGGGCACCGGGCGATGCCCGACCCCGCGTCCCTCTGTCGCCATGGAAGAGGCCCCTCTGCTGGGCGCGATGTCCGGCCCCGACGATGAGATGGTGACCGACCTTTTCTGCCCGGAGCGGCCCTTGGTCCCGGAGGGCCTGGCCCTGAGCCCCGCCGTCGGGGTGAAGCTCGAGCAGGACGAGCTGCCCGTGCTGGGCGACGCCTACCTGGGCGCCGCGGACCCCGCCGAGCCGCTGCTGCGCGCGCTCAGCCCGCCGCCCGGCGCCCACTGCCCGGGCGAGGTGCAGGCCGCGCTGCTCGGGGACTTCCCCGGGCTCCCCGAGCTGCGCGCCCCGGAGGACGCCGCGCCGCCCGCCTACAGCGTGCACGTCCTGTCCTCGCTGCTGCCCGCGCCGCGCGGCCCGGCGCTGGTGCCGCTGGGGGCCGGAGTGCGGGTGATTCCAGTAAGAGCCGCCTGGGGGCGGGGCCCGCGAGTCACCCGAGTCCAGACGCACCCCCGGGGCGCGGGTCCACAGCAAGAGTCCCCCTGGCCCGTAGCATCCCCGGGAGTCACTGATCCCGACAGGGCGCGTCTGCCCTTCTTCCTGCAGATGACTGTGCCCTGGGTCAAAGCGGCCCCGGAGGTGCAGACGTCTCAGGAGAGGGAAGAGCAAGAGAAGGCTTAACTTGGCCGCTGCTGTTGCCGCTTCTTTAGGGAGGGAGCCTGACTTAGGGTAGAGTAACGGGCGCTCAGGTGTCTGCATCTTGTGTCCGTTGGGTTTTATCCTGCGGTTCTGGGGATCGCACGGGCTGGGCCGGCACTCTAGCACCGAGCCCCAACCCAGTCCCACCTTAGGGTCTTTTCTTTGAATGCAGCAGACTTGTCAATCACACCAAGGAATCAGAGTTGGTATCCATTTGCTGAGCTTAGAATCAAGGTTCCCTCTGAGAAGGAGGAATGGTTCTTAAGCATATGTGATAGAGATCAGAGTCTAAATCTTGCTGATTCTCAACGCATGGGTCTCTTTAGCAAAGAAGAGCCACTGGTAATTTTCTGCTTTCTTCTTGCTGAAACTAAATGAGTCAGATTTCAAAGGAAACAAATTCACCTTGGTCCCCAGAAAGGACCCGGCTTGGAATACTGGATACCTCACATGTTCACACATGTCAGTTAGCTCTAGAGTGGGCTTTTCTGCTGAGATGACTGAGCCTGTCATAAGCCACACAGTGGAGCTTCAATTTCTGCTTTTCGGGTTCTCTTTTGTCATACTGACTGCTCCTTAGTGTTCCAGAAGATGTGGGGCAGAGGCTGGGGCTTCTACAGTGCTCAGTTTGTCCTCAGAGGAACCCTGGAGCCCCAGCCCCAGGGCCAAGGCCTCCCTCAGCACTGTTTGCAGTTGGCTCCAGAGGTCAGAAACCCATTTTGCCACCAAGCAGAGCCGGGGGTCTCAGCACCTCTGCCTGCTGCTCCCAGATGGGCTCCCTCCCTCTTCAAGTGGAGTCAGGGCAGGGCAGAGAATTAGCTGATGTTAAAGATGGTGACACAGTCTTCTAACGTCATCCAAGTTTAACAGATTGTTGGTTTGACAAAGGAGAAACTTTCATTTTTTATTTTTTATGGACAATTTCCTGATTCATTAATAAAATGAAAAAGAACAGGGATATATTTATCATTTAAAGTGAATGGAATTGTTTTCCAGTAAATATGCAGAGTGAATTACTATTTTCTTTTTTCTGGAGATCCACTCCCACATATTGACCTTCATTTAGATTCTGTGAAAGTGGAATTTTGCTGTAGTATGAATAATTTTGCTGTAGTATGTTAAGATATTAGTTGCACAGGGCTGAGGAGATTAACTATTTACTACATAAATAGAGGTAAATCTAAATGTGGGGGGTCAGATGTGCATGGCAAGTTCCCCAACACAGCAAGCAGAAGAAAATTTTAATATTTTTCTGTATGTCTATAAAACTTGAGAGTCTAACTAAGGCTATAACTTGAAATGTAGCTAAACTTTCCTATATCTGTTAAGATTTACACCTAGATGCTAGTCTACTGGGCTAAGTATTTGCTAATACGTGGTACTTGTTGTTTGGACCTCTGCTTTTACTAGGTTAGACCAAGCTTGAGTCAGCACTCAACATTTTGAGACAGTTTCCTATTGGTGATTTCATGTGAGGTCTTTAAATATTACCCTAGAATCACCACCTGTCTGGGGGACTTTATGATCTGCCCCTGACCCCTGGTGTTTGAGGAGGTCACTATGCTCTGATAAGCAGCCTGGGCAGGCAGGGTGGAGAGGTAGGTGAGAGCCATGCAAAATGTGCCCTGTCTCCCCACCCTCCTTGTTCTCTTCACAAACTTAAAATCTTCCCAATTTTGAAACAATTGTAATTTTTTTAACCATTGGGACATTTAAACTTTTTAAAAATTCATTTGCTTTTTAAGTAGTGCCACTTTATTTCTCCCTGTTTCTAGTAATTTGGCTGATGTGTCATTGAGTTGACAAGGATGGCTTGAAACAGAGCTGGTGACCAGCTTGGTGTCTCTGGCCTATAATTCCAGCTGTTCAAGAGGCTAAGGCAGGAGATTGCAAGTTTGAGGCCAGCCTCAGCAAATTAGTGAGACTCTGTCTCAAAAAATAAAGAGGCTGGAGACACAGCTCAGTGATAGAGCACCCCGGGTTCAATCCCCAGGGCCAAAAAAAGAAAAAGGTGGGGGATGGGGAATAGAATAGAATCCAAAGCTGGGGCTGGTTTCCAGTGCTCACTGTTTCTTATTATTGTCTTACTACTACAGCAGGAAAGGGCTACTTTTAAATTTAAGATATTACTTTAAATACATTACCAGTGATAAATCACATTATACTAATACTAAAACATCACAAGTACTTTGGGCTTCTTGAGGAAAAAGCAAAACAATTTGACTAGATGGTTTAATAGGATCTAAGGTGCATGCTGAAAGGATACCTGATGAGGGTCAGCATTTCAGGTGACACTCGGTCCACAGGGCTCCCAACTCCAGTGGAGTAGGGGCTGTTGAGAGGCACCAGACCCAGTGGGGCCCTTTGGTTATTTAGACTGGACTCTGGAAATAGCAGAAGCACCCCCTCATTTCCCATCGCCACCTGCACAGCACAGACAGACGGTTTTGTTCCTCTGGGTCCTCAGTCCCAGGTGAGGCTGGAAGATGACCGTCTCCCCTTCTTGTTGCCCATGGGGGTAGGGGGTGAATGGTTTTAGAAGTCCCAGGGAGGAAGGAGCCACTGTGGTAAGGAGGCCATTTAACGCGTGACTTAAACGCAGAGCTCAAATCTAGGTCTTCTGTACTGTGCACGATGTCTTCTCTGAGATAACAATTGCTTTTCTAGGTTGAGATCAAGGAAGGGGGTGGCAGTGTCGCAAGTGACAACCCCGAGGAAGCAGCCTTCCAGAGTCCTCTTGCTCAGGAGTCCTTTTGCACCTTCCTGTCATCCCAAGAAGCAGAGGATACCCCTGGCTGCTCTCGCAAGAAGGACTCCGGCCCGATGGTAAATATGCCAACAAAGGCGCGTATGGCCGGCTCCTGGTAAATGCCGCCCGCTGTCTCTGACTCCACTTGTCTGTTGAACCAGCTCTTTTGGTTGTCTCATCTGCCAAGGGGCAATGTCCACGGGAGCATTCACCTTTCACCTCCTAACCTCTAGGATCCTCATTTCTACTCCATCTTAGCAAGGCAAACAAGGATTGGGACCTTGCTGTGTTTGTTGAGGAGAGTGACCAGAAGTCATGTCAGCCCACGCAGAGCCAGGGGTCAGGCACTGGGCTGGGTGCCCTGTGGTTTGGCATCCTAGTGGGGCTGGGCCCCCTTCTCCTGTAACAGGAAGCTGTGCCTGTGTCTGCGCCACCTGGCCTGGACCACAGTGGGTGCTCATGGAGCACTGTCGATCCTGAGATTAATGGGCCGACCTAGCTCTCTGAGGATTCATCAGTGTCAGAATCCAAATGGGGATCTGGCAGTGCTAATCAGGCCCAGGAAGATCCATGTGGCTTTTTAAGATTTTCTAGTTCTTAGAAAATTCAAAACTGTCCTTGTAGTAAATAAGAGGAGCTTTTAAAAAACTAACCACTTGTTAAGTAATAATATGTGCATGTGGCAGGAAATAACTGCTTATAGAACTATGTTTACTGTACAGATGTGCCTGGGCATGGCCACAGAGAACAGAGAGGACATGACGAGGATAGCCAAGTCCAGTGGAACAGATTCCACGAGCAGTCTATGTTAATGTGGGCTATGTGCAGTTAAGGACAGGGAAGGGGGGCTCTGTGTGAGGCCTCTTTCCTTAAACAAGTCTCTATTGTCAGAAACTGGAGGACACAGGGCGGACCCTCTGTTAGCACTTGGTAAGCACTGCAGAGAAGTCTCTGGGGGGCTTTTTAAGGAGCAGCTATTGAACAGGAAGAAACAGAACAGATGTGTAGCTTCCCATCTTCCCCTAAAACTTCAACCCTGGATTAAAGCTCTTTTCTGATTTAAGTTCTTTTAGGTTTAGATTCCTGGAGGAATGGAAGCTGACCGCTCTTTTTCATTTTAGGTGATATGTCAGTTGAAAGGGGGGGCACAGATGCTGTGCATAGAGCATTCTGGCACAAGAGAGCTCAAGGCCCTTCACTTGGTTCCCCAGCATCAAGACCAGAATAATTATCTACAGTCAGGTACAAAGTGATGAGTGAAAATCTATCTGCTGGAACGAGAGTGAAAGGGCAGGGAGGGGCCGAGCAGGCGGCTTGGCAAGCTGCTCTCCCTCTCGAGTCACCACCAAGGATGGGGAGGCCTAGGAAAGGAAGTGTGCTCAGCCTGCAGGGCTGTGGCAGGGAGGACGTGGGCTTCTCCACCCAGGCTCAGGACACAGAGCTCTGCTGCACCCTCACCGTCAGGAAGATCTTTTTTAGCATCTTTAGGCCAAAGAAATACCTTTCAGTTCCAGTGTAAAGAATTTGGTCCAAATAGCTTAATAAGTATTTCTAGCAACTTAGTAACCATTTGAAGAGAAGAAGAGACACACATTGAGCATAGTTGATGTGGTGCTGGACAGATGTCACTGGGCTTTCTTTAAACGTATCATCTCCCTAGTGCCCCGGCCAACTTGCTGCCACACCCAGACACCTTGGCACAAAGTTTGGGAACCTGGGCTGTAGCACCATTTCCTTAGCACAGTGGACCACCCTTGAGGCTCTGCTCCTGCAACTTTATGATGGAAAAATAAACGAAAGGGTATAATAGGTGAAAACAAAACAATCACAACAAAGATTGACCTGAAAATTTTCATAGAATTAAAAACATACAAACAGGATCAAACTAAGTTTCAATAACTTCATGCATGATCAAGCCATATTACATTTTGCCCTTCCTCCCGCACATAAGCGGAAGAGGAACAACTGTGTGCATTGTTAACTTTAACTTTCTTCCTTACAGATGTCCCAAAGCCAATGACTACTTTAGTAGGAAGATTTTTGCCAGTACCAGCAAAATTAAATCTCATTGCACAACAAGTGAGTCGTTGTTTTAATACAAAAGTACAGTTGGGCATTAATGTCTCTTGAAATTTCAGTTGTCGTGGTTGAAGTTACTCAGGAACTGTAATTTAACATCCAGTTAAAAATCAACAGCAAGGGCTAGGAATGTGGTTCAGTGGTGCAGCACTGGCCCAGGCTGAACAGTGTGAACAATGCCTCAGCAACTTTGTGAGACCCTGTCTCAGAACAAAAAATAAAAAGGGCTGGGGATGTGGCTTAGTGGCTAAGCGCCCCTGGGTTCGCTCCCCAGTGCCCAAGAAAGCAGCAGTGAAACCTTTAGTAGGCTTTGGATCCCTTAATCAGTCAGGCTCTGGGAGGGAGGAGGAAGCTTGGACCCAGCTCCTTGCCATCTCCGGAATCCCTGCGCCCCTGTCCTGCCACCTCAAGGCCAGCACTGTACCCCATTTGCCAATTTTCAGCCTGAACCAATGGAAGCATGTGTGGAGTTTCCATCAGCCGAGACAAAGTTTAGCACAGGTGTTTCAGGGTGAGCCAAGAAGCCCATCTTACAGGGAATTTGGGATATCTCAGACACCCAGTGGAGACGCTGGGCAGGAGGAAGAAGGCTGGGATGGCCGGCAGCGGGTGCATGACCTGAGGCAGCGAGAAAGAGGGTTCTGGGCAGTGCCGGACACAGGAAGTGCCTGCCTGGCTGGTGAGCACTGAGGGAGCCCCCACCACCACTGCAGCCACAGCTCCCTGCAGTCGGGAAGGCAGCCTGCACATTCTTCCACCCCAAGATCTCGCGCCACAGCTCCCCCCTCCTTCCTGTATTTCCCTGACCATGTTTATTACTGTCCCCACCTTGGCTCCCCCTGACCTCTTATCTCAGGGACAATTATTTCAGCGGGATTTTTGCTGTGTCCTAGAATCCCTCTCTTCCTTGCCAGACTCCAGTTGTCCGTTCCTTCGACTCTCACTGCTCAGAGCGTGGTGCAGGATGGGAAGTACGCCACAGGTCCCACCCCACCTGGGATTCGACCCTCCCAATCGAGACCCTGGGGAGGGTGCACACAGCCCAGTAGGAGGGTGGTCTCCCTACATCTTCTGGGTCTGACAGGCTTCGATGTCACACAGCTGAAGGGGGCAGAAGAGAAAAGGCAAAGGGGTGAATAAGACGTGTGCTTTTCCATTGCTGCACTTCTTGAAGGAAGCTCATTTTTGGAAGATGGAGGGACAGGCAGGGGATGTAAACAATGATGTTCAAATCATCTAGAACCCTACTTTCATCTAGAACTTTTCATTTCTTCAAGTTTCTGATGAGAGGGCAGGGGGTCAGGGGTGGTTTGCTGTCGCCCCTCGCCTGGTGAGGGATGGGAGGAAGAACACAACCCAGAGCCTGCCGTGCTGCTTCTGAGATTGTTAGAACCGACTATAAAATTTTTGCGTTTTGGTGCTGGGGACTGAACCACAGGGTACTTGATCACTGAGCCACATCCCCAGCCCTTTTCAGTTTTATTTTGAGACAGGGTTTTGCTAAGTCGCTGAGAACTTTGATAAGTTGCTAAGGTTGGCCTTGAACTTGCCATCCTCCTGCATTAGCCTCCCTCCTGAGTTACTGTTACAGGTGTGGCTACTGCACCTGGCCTTTAAATATTTTTTTAAACAGACAAAAATTAGTGGTTGCCAATGAGACGTCAAATATCAAAATCTCTTATGTATATATTAAAACATAAAAATAATAAGAACACTCTCAGTTAATGGATTATGTAATGGACTTTACTTCACAACTGATATTTCATAAAAAAGAAATATCCCTGGCAGCCAACTGATAGCTGTATGCTGTCCCCTGCGGCCCCTACCCTCTCTGCCTTCTTCCTCTCTGCATCCCCGGGTTAGGGCTTTCATGCGCACGGGGCCTGTGTCCGGGCAGGACTGCAAGATGGCCTCAGCCTATTACTGGATTTGTCAGGAAACAAGGCGTGGCAGGGGCTGGGAAGGAGTGGGCAGAGACCCAGGGTGAGAGAAGCCTGCAGGTGTGCGTGTGCTGGGGGGTGCTGTGAACACACCTGCTGATTCCAAGAACTTTTGCCTTTGACTTTGTGCAGCTGGACAGCGGGGCCCGCCCCTCGGCAGTTACCGGGCCTGCTTTCCCCACAGGATCAGCTCTTCCAGGACCACCAAAAATCGCTTTGGCTGGGTAAGGATTAAAGCAATAAGTTGGTACTTCCTTTAATGTTAGAGTCTAAGAGGCTTCGTGTGCATCTGGGACGTCCTTCTGTGCCATAGGACTAGCTTTGCCTGCACCCTTCATGGCCCCTGGAAGTCAGCTGCATCGGGCAGCACTGCTGGCGAGCTTGCTGCAACCTGTGCTTTGGAGTTGCTGGAAAGGCGGATCGGCAACCGCCCTCTCTCCATTGTGCTGTCCGCTGTCCTGTGTGGCTATTTCAGGGCTTGTGGCCATTTCTGGCCAAGTCTATTTTTCACATAGATTCTGGTCGTGTTGATCTGTTTCTTTTTTGCTGTCATCAATGCAAGTAATGCCTCGGCAGCCTCTTGACATGGACAGTGGCTCTGCTGGCCACCTGGTGGGAAGTGGGTGCCGCTCTGTGGGCTTGCCTTCAGGATCTCCAGGTGGACGTGGTCTGCACTTAGCCAGGACCTTGTCTCACCATTTTAAAGCTGTGTTTGTAATTGTAACCAGTTGAACTCAGCAAGCTGGTTGAAACATGTGGTCAAGTTCACATTCACATACTAACTGTGGGCTAAGCCTGTGCTCTGAGCCACCGTTGCTGCTCTCTGCGTCCTGTATTGATGTGGAGGTCAGTCTGCTCCTGCCTCCAAGAGCCATTGACCACAGTCAGGGCAGCCGTTCATGTGGGCCTGACAGCGGGTCAGACACTGTGAAAGGCAGACCTGGCCTCTAGTGCCTTCTGGGCTCCCACAAGTCCCTCCCTCAGGCAGCGAGCAGTCCTGGCCTTGGAAAGCCTGAGGCCAGTTGTTTGGGGCTGGAGCACCAGGCTGTTGAGTGGACCATTTGGAGGGGCTCTGGAGACAGTGGACTTGGTCCACATGTGTGCCTCTGCTGTGGACGGCAGCCCAGGGACCTGCTGCTTCACCTTAAGCAGCTGCCTCTGGAGCTGGTTGCACTGCTGTGCGGAGCCGGCGAGGACTTTCACTGAGGGAAGGGGAGACTGGGGAGCCTGTCTCCACGCCTCCCTCTCTGGGTGCTGGGGACCCATGAGATGTGCTGGGTGTTATGGCAGCTGTCCTGTCACGGTGGCTGTTAATGGTTTTTGAGGAAGCAAAGATGACCCAAGCAGCTTCCTGGTTCCGCTGCCAGCATTGCACCTGGCTTGCCCAGGATGGTCTGGAGGTCACAGGCTACAGGGGCTCACTGTAGCTCGTTGAGACCTGGGGACGTCCGATGAGCTGTGTTGCGCCACTGTGCACTTTGGTGCCTCTGGAACATCCAGGAAATCTGATGCTTCTAAGCTGCGCATGCTCACAACTGCGGGCCATGTGAGGCTGGCTGCCGGGCAGCCTGTGCGTCCCCATGGGGGGACAGCTCTCTCTGTTTCTCCTCCTCCTGGTCCTCCTCCTCCTCGCCCTCCTCCTCATCCTCATCCTCCTCTCCTCCTCCATATTAGGTTTTCTCAACCAGTCACACACTTCTCTTCCTTTCGAGGTAATCGTGCAGGCCACAGAAACTTTCCTGTTTAAAGGATGTGTCAGAAACATGAACTTTGTGTTTGTTTGTTTTCCTGCAAATAATTACTTGACTTGCTGTCATTCCCCTGAATCAGCTGATGGCTTTGTCTCAGCATGCGCAAGCTCATTGTGTGCTGGGATCTCTGCCAAGGTTCATTTGCGGCAGTCGGAGGGCTGCAGCTGGCGCTTCATTCCGTGTGAGTCCCCAGCCGCGACCCTCTCCCTCTCCCTCTCGACGCTTCTCTGGATGCCTCTTCCAACTTCCACAAGACGACCAGGGCACGCTGGGTCTGCAGATTTCAGAAAAGACACTGTCATCCCCCCTGGCTCCAGCCGCTCTAACTTGGAGATGATGTGGAAGCAGGTTGGCTTGGGCCACCTGCTTCTCCTTAGAATTGGGAGGTGACTGCTAACTCACTAATAAAATCCATCTCCTGTCACTCTATGTAGCATTAGTGACCCAATTGCCAGTCAGGCGATGAAGGTGGGTCCTGACACGTGCTCATGCTGTGGGTTTTGGGAACACACTGAGCATCATCATAAAGAATATCCGGGAGCCTGCATCTCTGGGAACTCTTTCTTAAAGCGGAGGGTAATCTCCTTGCAGTATAGTCCATTTATAATTGTTTTGAGGAAGAGCTGCCCAGATCTCCTTCTGACTCTCTAATTTTTAGGTTGGCACTAAGAAGGTGGTCAAATATTGTCAGAGCCATCTGGTTTCCATGACAGCTGGCCGGTCCCTTCCGGTCCCCTGTGGCTTTAGGGGAGGCATTCTTTTGACCAACAATAAAGAAGATCACAGCCTTAAAAGCTGATGCCAAGTCCCACTCCTTCCTTAAAAGAGCCAGTTTAACTTCTTCCATCTGTGTTAACCAGCCTGCCTGAATTTTTGTGTCATTTATAATCAGTATGAAACGACAGCAGATTAGATGCCATCCTGCATTCTCTAAATGTGCAGTTGCGTGTGTCTCATGTCCCCAGTTATTTGGTGGATTCCTCAGCAAGTGGAAGGGATAAAGCACTCATCACCATGCTGACCACATGGTGGCCTCCTCCTGACACTGTAGGACTCTTCTCATTCTGGAATGTCTCCACCCTAAATAGCTTGGTTCCTCTGAACAGGAAGTGCCAGGCCCCCCGCACCCAGCTCAGGGCAGGTCAGACAGGGCCCAGGGCAGGAGCACTGAAGCTGGTGTCAGAGTCCCTGCTCTGAGCAGGCCCGGGTCTGCCCCACAGGTGCACTGGCCAGGGGGCAGAATAGCTAGCCCTGCCACTTCCAGCACCATGAGGATCACCAAGGGATCACACTAGCTGAACACCAAACAGTACAGCGTTCAGTGACACGGTCTAACAATGGAAGCGCGCTCCAGAGGGGACCTGGCTGGTGCGTGGTGAGACAGACTAGATGAGAGCTGGGGGAGACTGGGCCAGAACTGGAGGCAAAGGCAGCTCTCCAGGGGGTTGAGGGTAGGGCCCAGAGTGCAGAGGCAGGGCGCAGGGCTTTGCCAGGTCGTAACCACAGAGCCCAGGACCCTGCTCCGCTGGTGCTGCTGTAGCTCCTGTAGGGGCCTTGGGCCAGGAGGTGTTGTGCCTGCAGGGATAAACCCTCCACATGACCTTAAGGGGCACGGTGCCCAGTGCACAGGGCACACACCCATGTCAGGAGGACCCTCCTTTTCACCATGGCCTTTTGGACCTCGGCATGTCTGGTATCTCCAGTCCCCACAGGGAGTGCCCGTGCGAGCAGGGCCTGCCCCCAGCCCAGCAGCAGTAGAGATGCACCAGAGGGGAGCTCGTCCCCCCTCAGGGATCAGCGATTTCCAGGCTGATCCCCGCCTGTGGTCAGGGAGGTCCCCGGAGATCTAGTGACTGGAAACGTGCTTGCGGCTGCTGGTAATGCCACAGTGCCCGTCCTGGCGTGAAGCTCAGCCGTGGCTTACCCACGATTCCTCATCATGCGTCCTGTTAGTGTCAGGCTACCGGGGAGACTGCTTGCGGGGAGGGCACGCAGAATAGAGGTTCACACAGGTCAGGGAGAGGGCTTAGGAGGTGTCGTCCTTGGCCAGTGTGGAGAGAAGCAGGCACCTGCTCCCTGACCCCACCGGATCCCTGGGCAAGCTCCAGTGGGCCTGGCGAGCTAGCGAGCAGTGTCACCATGTAGATATACCTGCCATTCCCATTTCATGATCAGACACCAATAGATAATGCCTAGAAATGTCTGGTTGAGAGTCTCAGTGTTTGTTCAAAGCACCAACTGCTTAGCTAATTCTCTTTCCACAGAGTAACATTTTCTGAAAACATTTTCTTTTTTAATCTTTGTAGAGTAACTCTTAGTTCATGGGACACAAAGTCTAAAAAGCCATGTAACTGTACCAAATCCCAGTGTCTGAAATTGTAAGTAATCACAAATCCTTCCTTATTAAATATGAAATAAGGGTGTTTAGAAGGCAGCGAGCGAGCACAGTGCAGGCGAGCAGCGTGGCCAGCCGTGCCGTGCTGCACTTGATCCTCAACGCCCGCCTGGGCTCCAGGCAGCAGCCTGGTGTGGATCTTTTGGTGCTGACCTCAGAATGGCCCTGCCCACCCTTTGAGGGTGTGGTTTCTTGGACTTTGGTTCACAGCGCTGGCCCCTCTGGCAGGGGCTGGACATGTCAGTCATCTTGGTTGAGCATTAACTGTGACATGTCCACATCCTATTTCCCAAAAGTCTGATGAATTGGTTTTCTCTATATTGAAATCTTTTTCAGAAAAATCTCCCCCAGGGGTACCAACTCCCAGGAGGCTCCTCCAGGGGTGGTAGGGCAGACTGTCAAGCCACACTGGGGCTGCAGGAGACAGGAGGCTGAAGAGGAAGTGGCCTGGCCATACCTGGCAGATCCCTGAGCTGAGCCCCCTCTCCCTGCGGGTTTGGTTTGTCTGGTGTGCCTGCCGGCCTGGTCCCACCGTGGAGGGGAGTGGGTCCTGGCCCGTGTCTGCAGCCTAACCACAGACCCCCTGGTGTTTCCTTTGCAGAGCTCCTGAGGACCCTGAGAGCTGCACTGAGGGACATGAAGTGAGGGCACGCGTGGGTGAAATCCAGACGTTTCCGAAACTGTTCACAAACTAACTGATTTCTGTACACAGTAGTGCTGGTATCTGGGTTGACTGGGTGCACGCCCCGGGCCTCTCAAACACCAGGGCCAGGCTGCTCTAGCTGCCGCTGTGCTGAGGAGGGCCGGCAGGGCAAGAGGCAGTGGTCTGGGCGTCCAGGATGTCCAGGGCGGCAGCCACGCTCCTTAGCTGCTGGTGGGGTTTGGGGACTGGGCAGGTCAACAGCCTAGGGGGTTGCAATTGGGGCTTTTCTCAATTTTTATATATTTTAAACATTTATTTTCTTCATAATTAGCTTATTAAGGCACCAAATGTAAACCCCACTTTTATAACAGGATTTCTTGAGATAGGAAGTGACGTGTTAACTTCTAAACCTCTGGACAATAATTTCAGTAAGAG